CACAGTTCTGTTGGATCGTCCTCGTGGCTTTCTTCACGCCACGGATCATGCTTTTCGCCACGTCAGCATTTATAGATAAGTATATATCGGTTCAATTTCGGTTTAGTTTTTAAATTAATTTCAGATCGGTATCCGGATTAATCGAACCGGAAAATGAATTTCGTTTAAATTTCGTTTGGAGTCACTGATTAAATCAGAGATACATGGCGGCTACAACGAGCTCCGGCGAAGAGCCACCGGAAACTCAAACGCCGGCGCAATTGATTCCGTTATTGTCGGACGACGTTGCTCTGAATTGTCTTGCTCGCGTCTCAAGATGCCACCATACGATCCTCTCTCTCGTCTCCAAGACTTTCCGATCTCTCCCCAAATCGCCTTTACTCTACGCCACGAGATCTCTCGTCGGAGCCACCGAAAACATCCTCCACGTCGCAATACGTTTACCCCCTGAATCCGGTGCGTGTTGGTTCACTCTCCTCCAGAAGCCACATCGAACCTTATCTAGCTCACCGAATTCGCATCTGCTTGTTCCAATCCCGTCTTGTCCTTCGCCGTCTCTTGTCGGATCCGCATACGTCGTGGTGGATTCGGAGATTTACGTAATCGGTGGATCTATCAGAGACGTGCCTTCTTCGAGCGTGTGGGTCCTCGATTGCAGGTTTCATACTTGGCGACGAGTCTGTAACATGAGAGTAGGCCGTGAATTCGCAGCAGCCGGAGTAATCGACGGGAAGATTTACATGATTGGAGGATGTGTGGTTGATAATTGGGCTCGATCGATTAACTGGGCAGAGATGTTTGACATAAAGACTCAAACTTGGGAGCCAGTGGCTAGTCCAGGGATGGAGGTGCGTGAGAAATGGATGCACGCAAGTGCGGTAATGGAAGGGAAAGTCTACGCAATGGCTGATCGAAACGGTGTCGTTTACGAGCCGAAAGAAGGGAAATGGGATATGCCAGAGAAAAGGCTTGATTTGGGATGGAGAGGAAGAGCTTGTGTGATTGAGGACATTTTGTATTGTTATGATTACTTGGGGAAGATAAGAGGTTATGATCCAAAAGAGAGGATTTGGAGAGAGCTGAGAGGTGTGGAATCACTTCCAAAGTTTCTTTGTGGCGCTACAATGGCAAATCGCGGTGGAAAGCTTGCGGTTTTGTGGGAAGGAAAAGCGGGTAGTGGAGGTTCTAGGAGAATGGAGATTTGGTGTGCAGAGATTGATGTTGAAAGGCGCGGAGAAGGGGAGATTTGGGGGAAGATTGAGTGGTCTGATACTGTGCTTACGGTTCCTAATGAATCCGCCATTGTGAATTGCTTGGCAGCTACAGTTTGATTGATGATACATACATGTTTACTTTCTCTGAATCATCATTGTCATCATCCATACCATACCACACAGGTGTGCTTCTGATTCGTTGGCGATTGATTCTGTTATGTTTGTCTGTCTGTGAATCATTGTGATGAGCACATTCGTTTGGACTGCTTTGCCGGAAATGGTAGACCGGCACAGAGTGTAGCTCGGCCTAAGGCCCTGAGCCAAGATGAAACAACTGACTGGTGTAGTGAAGTTCATATAGATTTGCTTCTGTACTTTGGGGATAAGTCAACTTTCTTCTGTATGTTCTTGTCCATTTTTTTTCTTTGTAATCCATATGAAAGCTACTTTCAGATTTGATAATACCATTGAAATTTTTCCTTACACTTACATTGTTCATTACTCATGACATGTTAACAAACCCAATATGGCAACTTTTTCATTTTGTTGAAGAACAGAGAGGAAGAATGATACAGAAAAAAAAAAAAGTGTATTAGTAAGTTATATACAGTATACTTGCATTGCATCTTTTTCAAATAAAGCATTGTTAGGTGGTTTTCCAGTCAAAATTAGTGTCATGAAAGCTCTGATGACCCAAAGAAACCAGCAACTAAGAGATATTCTTTGTCTAGAAAGCTCTCAACTTGCTCAATGGTCTGGTGACGAGTATTTTGCTTTGTTGAGTTGATTGATCGGATGAATGAAGAGACAGAATTGGGGCGGGGAAATTAGAGGTCGCCGTCAGGGATCTCCATACTTTCTTCTTTTCCAAGAAAGCTCTGAACTTGCTCAAAGGCCTGATGATCAGTGATTTGCTTTGTTGAGTTTGACTGAACAGATTAATGAGGCAACAGAGAAAAAAACCTGACTTACCTTGATGGCGATTTCACCTGGTGTGAGATCTGAGACATCTTTATAGCCGCGCTTGACTGCAATATCTGATAATTGGAGTACAAGGACGAAAAAGCTAAGTTATTAGCATAAGTTGCAAGAGAGAAAACATCAGAGTGTTGCATACGTTCAAGAAAAGTCACATATTTAACAGATGGATGAAGAAGGCATGTACTTTCTAAGGAGACTCTGGCATTTGCGTTTGTGTATGCATCACCTCGCTCATCCCAAATAGTCGAAAGACGCTTGAAAGCCTAAGCATAATTCATTCATGATCATAGACCCCAAAAATTAAGTACCCAAGGCTTTATGGATTGTACAACAGTCAGATGAGTACCCCTGTGTATGCATCTCCAGATTCATTGTGTAACAGTGGTCGTGAATCAGTTCCAACAGTAGCGATTCTATGGGCTAAGGCTTCTAGAGGCACATCTAGCCAAATGCTGATGCCTTTATGCATATACTTCCTAAAAATGTCATCAGATTACCAAATGAATTCAACAGAGACTTGAGTTTTATTTGTTTTAATTTCGGACAGGATGAAAGGAACGCACCAATTAATGGGTCTTATAACCGCACCTCTACCAGTGGAAACAATAACTTGATACATCGAAGAGAGCTTCTTTAGTGCATCGGTCTAGAAAGGAAGGAAGGAAGAAATTTAGCTCGGGTAAAACACAGTAAAGAAACAGTAGGCGAAGAAGAAGCGCTTAATAGAAAGACCACAAATTAAAAAACTAGTCACAAGGATCACCAAACTAATCTCCTTTCCTCAAAAGAAACTCCTTCCGTGATGCTCAAATATCTCGGCTACGGAACTTTCATTCATCGCCTGCTCAGTCAAAGTGTCACTGACACATCCACAAAACTTATAGAAGGTTACATATACAGAATACCAAACCACATTCATAACTCACTCCAAATCACGGAACAACTCGTGCAGGCATAGACGTACCAGTCGTAGAACGAATAACCAAGCACTTTAGCCATTAACTTTCCCACAGTTGTTTTCCCAGAACCCATCATTCCTGTTTTCATAACAAAAATCACATTACAAGTACTAAGAACCAACCATATGCAACCAAATGAAACAGACATAGAAACTAACCAACAAGGTACATAGATCGTCCATTCAAATACGGTTTAACCTCTTCTGCTTTTCTCTGCAAACATCATGTATCCATTGTCTGGTAAGATTTCATAGACGAAACAAGAAAACATGTATTATAAAAAGGGTATAGTTAACTTGCCTTGAGAATTAGATCTTCATCAAATTGATGAACACTTCCTGTCTCCAACAACGCAACAACAACCAAAGATCGAATCAGATTTCCTTCATCAATCTAAGACTCTCAAAGCTAATGACATTTCAGAGGCATCAAAGATATCCAAATGCATTTACAACAACCTGAAGACTTGTTATCAGAAAAAGAAACCTCTGAAGGAACCGATATTCGTCAATCATTTCTTCTCTCGGGTTTCAAATGAGCCAAAGCAATTCCTCTGAACCTTTTTTCTTCCATCACTCGCTGAGAATACAGCAACGAACCAAGAGGCTTCCCCTCAAACTTGCTCCAATCAACCCATGATGAGTACTGGAACCTCTGAGAAATAGCTGCTTCCATATGAAACAACTTAAAGACAAATCTTCAATACAAATATTATTCAAAATCCCTGCAAAAGCAAATTTCAACTGGATTCAGCCAAAATCTAAAGAGATCATCACTGTGACAATCTCTTCCATATGAATTTCAGTAAAAAGAGGAGAATTTTTTCCATAATTAAGGACAATTATTGCTCCATCGACAAAAAAAGAAAAAAAAGCATCAAACTCTAGAACGACGGTAATAAAAATTCGAAATTGTTTTTGCTCAAAGCACAAGCTTTCTCACAAAAGTTACTATGTATAAAAAAAACCATGATCATAATCCCTTTACAGTATCTTTAAGTTTTCCAATTCAAACTTAATCATTAACACTCAGCATAAGAAATAACGATCCAATTATAATCTGAATCTGATAAGAATCATCTCACACTAACAACAAAAAAAAAAGCTCTCGAATTTCAAATCAGGAGTTAAAAAAAAGAGTGAATCTCACATACCAAAGTTCTCAGTTATGAAATCGAACCTGACAGATAATCCCAGCGAGAAGATATTTCCAGTTCTCAGCGAGAAGACCGAGCTCCGTCGTTATCTCAGAGCAAAATCTCTTCCATAGCTATAAACAAAAATGTAACAAATCAGACAAAAATTCGAAAAACCCACAATCATGTATCCCACAATCTATAGAAAACAAACAAACAAAAACTCAGTAAGTACTCTGCCATGACAAGAGCAGATCCCACAATCTATAAAAAAAATTACAAAGGAATTTGCACAAGTGAAGGCTCACTTTGAGATATCAAAGTCCATAATTTCTCCTTCACCATATATATTCTTTGGAACTGAACTAATAACCCTAGCCAAAGCTTCCCAGGAAACCTGTTTAAAAGAGAACAAGTTAGAAAAGACAGGCAGGCCCAGTTCAATTCTTCTCGTTCTGGTCAAATAGCCTACCGCAGTAGTTGTTAAATCAGAATCGCTGAGCATAACAATCAAGGTAGATATCATGCATGGAGCTTCATCAATCAAGTAAAGCTTGCTACTTTTGAAGAACTAACCAATCAGATAGGAAGAGCTTCTTCTTATTGAAGCCTGAAACAATTTAGAAATGTAAATTACCTACATGCCAAGATAAACTAATTCAATTAAAAAAGTTACAAACGAACCTGACTATCAGACACTCCTTTGGGAAGTTCAGATAATAGAGTCTCAACTCCTTCATCAATGATGAGCACGACTCTTTATGCTGCCTCTTGTGCCAATTCTTGGACTTCCTGCAACACGAAAGAGAATCTTAATCTCAGATAACAATAGCTTTCATACAAACTGAAGGGTAAAGACAATGTTACTTTTTACCTATTCTTCATCTCCCATTGCAGAGAGCAGCACTAGCAAGATGAGTATTAAAACCAGCACTAGCGACTTCAGCTAAGGCTCCCAAAGCATGTGCATTTAAGGCACTAGACACATCATTTTAAAACGTTTTGGTTAAACAAAAAGTAACTCATCATATGCTTGATACTGCATATCTATCAGAACGAGACAAAAGGAACACATACGGACAAGCTCGGGAAAGATATGTGGAGGAACAACTGCTGTCCTAAAACTCAAATTCCAAAAGTAAATTAAGCAAACAAAAAAATTTTGAATCGGCAAGGAGATCAAAGAGAGCCTGAGGAAACAATAGAAGAAGATGACCTTATAGTTTGTTTTAGCCCATCCAGGGTAGTGGTAGACATTTAATCATCCTCTAATGCTTCCAGAGAGTTGGGCTAAACTTATCCATGTCAAGCAATCCAGCACTCTACATTACAAACGTAAACGAATGAGATATATAGAGTGAGCTAGAACAATCTTGGAATCAACACAAGTCAGAAGTTGTACCTTGTACAGAGTGCTGAACGCTAATCCAGCAGATTAATGAACCTCAAGGTCGCTGTTAAGAAAAGCTGCAAAGGATAAAAATGTTTATACTTTCAACAGCTTGAAAATAAAAACTCTCACAAAGTGTCATCCGAATGGTGGAAATGAGCTGATCCATCAGACTCCTCCCAGCACTTGCCATCACTTCATTCAGGCCGATGCATACACTCGGTCAGTCATGTATTAGAATATCAAGCCAGTGTGTTAGGGGACGAACTGCATATCAATTTAAGAAAACAATGTTCTTGCTCGGAATGGAAACGTTTAAGCATCACATATGGACGTATAACCCATGCAGCAGATCTCCAGTTCATTGAACAATTAATAGACATCAAAATAGATAAACGTCACCATAATTAGAACACTGAAACAGTCAAAAGGTAACACTGACAAATTCACTTTGTGCTGAGCAAGGTCGCAACAATAACTCCTATCAGAAACATCTCCGGATAAAAACCAAATAAATATACTCAACGGTAACAAATTTTCTTGAAAAAGAGACTAAATTATTGCTTTAACATTAATCTTACTTGTCTTTTGTCAACATCTGATATCTTCTTGAGGTAAAATTCGAATGATAACAGGAAGCACCCTTTCACCAATCTTCCGGACCAACTCTCCAAGTGATCTTCCTGCTACCTACACATTTCAATAGATCTCATCTAAGACTTCGCACATACGGATAAGCGTAAAGAGATTACTGTAATACTGGTTCTAGACATTAGCTAGTTTCCACCAAAGAAAAAAAACGAAAGCTTACCTTGTTAAAAAGTTGAGCTACTTCAACCCCCTCTTGGTTGTTGTCAACAGCAGCCACTATCATTTCTTCAGAAGCTGCAGAGAGATAAGAGGTCACCATTAGAACCAATAATTCGTTAATTCGAGAAACTAGTGATGGAGCTTACTGATGGGATCAGTCTTAGGAAGTCCATCAAGCATTTCATCATTAACCTCGATAAAGTCTACTCCTACTGTGTCAGTGACCTTTGCTTCAGCTTCTGGTTCTTCACTAGGCATAGATGATGAGCTGCCAAGTCCCTGTAACCAGAGATTAAATAAAAGTTGAATAATGCGGCACAAGACACGTGAATAAGTATGGACATTGCAGGCTGCACAAAACATACATAAAATTCCTCTGCATATTCATAATTCAATGCCTTCTCCAGAAGCAGAACTCGCTTTTTCACAAACTGAACAAGTCTTCTTTGCATGTCCCGATAGTAAAACATCGAGTTTACTTGACCCGCATCAGCAAAAGCATTATTGTTCCCCGTAATACCGCTCCCATGATTCTGGTTGTTCTGTGCTCCCGGATTGGAGCTTCCACTACCATTCTGCCCCTGCAAGCCAGCTTGTTCAGCAGCAGACAAACTTATGTGAGGGAAGTTTAATTCTTTGCAGATAAGCTCTTGGATCCCCAACTCTTTGTCATCAACAATGGCTTGCCATCGTCCATACACATGCCTGAAGAGTCAATTTTTAAGAGAACAAAAGTAAACGTGAGCAAGCAATAGAAAATCATGAGAGAATAAAAATCATTCCGTGAGAACACTGCTGAAAGGTTCATACTTTAAAACAACACGTATCATTATCTTGTCATGTTTTCCAAATTTTTCCACTTCTTAGTCCTGGGAACTTTTCAAGAATGCGGTTGGGAAAAACAGGTTTGGCTGGATGATCTTCTACATATTTCACCTGCCAGACCAGAGCACCAAAAAAAAATGAGAGTTGAGCTCAAACAAAGATGAGCAACTCAGAATCAAAAGTTCAGGGCGATAAGCTTAAGAAACAAAAACACATTTAAGAAGAGAATTCTACAAAAGATTGCAAATGGCATTCCTCTAGTAGTGACTGGAAACAGAGATAATGAAGCAGAACATAACCAAACGTTCTAGCCCAGGAATGCACCAAAACTTCTTAGATCTTGGTTTGGACATATGATTACTGACTCAAAAATTGGTAAAGATCAAACGATAGCCTGCCTAGAAGAAACATATACAAAAGATAGAGCTACATTTCTCTTGTATCATCTAACACAATGGCCACAATAACAGTAAAACACAGATACAGAAGCTCCACCACCATGTGACGACACTCTGAATTGGTCCTCAGAAGACAATTCAGAAGTTAAAGAAAGAGAATTATTAAAGGATTACACTGAAAGACTCACCTTCTCCTGTACTAGCAACAGAACAGCAATTCTGACTAGAACATCTTCAATTCTAAGTCTTTCCTTGGGCACACCATCTATATACAAAGACGATTGCACTCTTATAGTTAACAGGAGAAGCAACAATCACAACTAGAACAAACAGTGAAAATATCAATTATCAGTCACTTGAAAAGGTTGGAGAATTCTCGTCAATGTGCTTCAAGAAGAGTATTCCATAACTGAGACACAGTACCATTAAACAATAAGTTGATGAAAAATCATTGGTCTTTTCAGATAATAAACCAGAACACCTTTTTATAGAGATTCGCTTTTTTGTAAAGAAGCTAGAGAGAAAATTAAAGAGTTGAGTCAATACTCTCTTATTCCGTCATAGGTCTTCTGCTTCAAGCGAGGAACAAACTCCTTCCAATCGAAATTGCCAACTCCATACCTGCACTTTTTTTTTTACCACATGACAAAAACATGTAAACCATGTCCATCGGGAGACAATATGTACAATTTAGACAGTACGGTTTCTTGTGTCTAACGTCCTTATCGGAAAAAAGATACCTCATCAACGTCTGTACAAAAATGGCCCTTTGACTATGGTTGAAACCCAGTACTCTGAAAGACCTCCCTCGCCTTCCATTAAAGGAGTTGGCTCTGAGTTATCTACATAAATAACTTTTAAAAAACTGCACATTCTCTTAATATCACTAGTCTCAGCTACATTACGATTTAAAGAATTTCAGATAAATTGTAATACCTCGGCCCCTTCTTCTGTATGGCCTTCTACCCGTCTGATTTCCTTGTCCCGCAGCTTCACCATCTGTTGACTCAGCTTCAGAACTTTCATCTCCATCAGAGCTCACATCTTCCAAACCAGCAAGATCATCTTCTTCAGTAATACCAACTGGGAAAAAAGCCCAGAGAAGAAGTAGAACAGCATTTCTGAAAGATATGAAACGAAGACGGCTGACCAAAATAATGTAAACCCCATTAGTAATTGAGAAATATCAAGTACGTAGAGAGTGAAAACAAAACAAAAATCACTTGCAGAAGGAAAAAAACTGTAGTCACTTGGGCATCTATCAACCCCAATCAATAAATGTCATCAGATTATGCATATACTTCCTAAAAATGTCATCAGATTACCAAATGAATTCAACAGAGACTTGAGTTTTATTTGTTTTAATTTCGGACAGGATGAAAGGAACGCACCAATTAATGGGTCTTATAACCGCACCTCCACCAGTGGAAACAACAACTTGATACATCGAAGAGAGCTTCTTTAGTGCATCGGTCTAGAAAGGAAGGAAGAAATTTAGCTCGGGTTAAACACAGTAAAGAAACAGTAGGCGAAGAAGAAGCGCTTAGAAGAAAGACCACAAATTAAAAAACTAGTCACAAGGATCACGAAACTAACATCCTTTCCTCGAAAGAAATTCTCTCCGTGATGCTCAAATATCTCGGCTACGGAACTTTCATTCATCCCCTGCTCAATCAAAGTGTCACTGACACATCCACAAAACTTATAGAAGGTTACATATACAGAATACCAAACCACATTCATAACTCCAAATCACGGAACAACTCGTGCAGGCATAGATGTACCAGTCGTAGAACGAATAACCAAGCACATTAGACATTAACTTTCCCACAGTTGTTTTCCCAGAACCCATCATTCCTGTTTATATAACAAAAATCACATTACAAGTAAGTACTAAGAACCAACCATATGCAACCAAATGAAACAGACATAGAAACTAACCAACAAGGTACATAGATCGTCCATTCAAATACGGATTAACCTCTTCTGCTTTTCTCTGCAAACATCATGTATCCATTGTCCGGTAAGATTTCATAGACGAAACAAGAAAACATGTTATAAAAAGGGTATAATTAACTTGCCTTGAGAATTAGATCTTCATCAAATTGATGAACACTTCCTGTCTCCAACAACGCTACAACAACCAAAGATCGAATCAGATTTCCTTCATCAATCTAAGACTCTCAAAGCTAATGACATTTCAGAGGCATCAAATATATCCAAATGCATTT